AGAGAAATCATACCTCGCACTATCAAATCTGGGACTAGCGTTGCCTTTTCTGGCTTCCGCTTCCGCAAGCCCCTTCAGTCTGAATCCTCAGCGATCACTAATGCAAGACAACACTTTAGGATTAATTCTCATTCCTAAAGTAATCCAATCTCAATTAGATACCAAGGTTTCCAATTAGTGTGCCATAATCCATTTTCATGTTTCAAAATATCATTGCAAGGGTTTTCAATCTCAAAACAAGGATTAAAGATGCTAATCCATTCATCTCAAGTCCCCAAATGAAGCTAATTTGGGTTCTCCCCTAACACGGGTCAAAATAGCAATTTCAGGCCAAACAGTGTCAAACCCCGTGTCAACCGGTTGACCGATGACAGAACATTGCATTACCACAGGTCGACCGGTGGTGTGCACTCCGGTCGACCGAACAGGTCGACCGGTCAGGCCAATACAATCCGGTTGACCGCACTAGTAGACCGGTTACCATGTGATCCAGTCGACTGTACCGGTCGACCGGTGGAATCAGCTACGCGAGAGAAGCTTGCGAAAACTAGTCCAAAAACCTTCAATCTCAGTCCCAAATCGAAATATTTCAAAGGAAAACCACTAGATCCGAGTTTAGGTCCTAAAACAAGTCCAAAGAACCCAAGATCTCCAATTTCTACCCTAGTTTTACTAAAAAAACCATCAATATCCAGTTTGAACCAAAAATAAGTTTTAAAATTCAAAAACTTAAAATTCCAGAGAGATTCTTTCAGTAATCTTACCTCGAATCCTTCTCTTGACGTTGAAAACGCTTTGAAACTCTCCTTTGATTCAAGATCCGTTTGATTTGGGACAAAAATGAGAGAGAGGGAGAGAAAGAGAGAGAGAGAGCGAGAGAGTGAGAGTGAGAGAGAGAGAGAGAGTGCACGGGAAGGAAAAGGAAAGAAAGAAAAGAAAAGAAAAGGAAAAAGAAATAGACAGGTGTTACAAAATTTTAAAACAACAGTCCAGTAATATGCCCATACACACTCCTAGGAAAAATATAAATACTGAAAATAGTTTAAATATCTTTGAACTATTTAAATTACATGTCAGAAATATTTATTAATCAAAACTCAATTAATTAAATCAGGTTAGGCACACTAATAATCTCAATTACCTTTATTACTCTCATTTAATTCTTCAGGGTGTTACATTTAGTTAGTGAAAGAGTTGTCTTTTAGCTGGATACACAGACTTTGACTATGAGTCAAGCATGGATTTCGAGAGTCAACATCTAAATCTGTGTTCATACTAGGTGAAGGAGTCGTGATATGAAAGGTTGTTGACAAAGTGTGATTGCAAATTCTATCATTAAGAGTTAATGTATTGCAGCTTGTGAAACAACAAAAGAAAGTAACATGACTCTGGAAATTCTTAATTAATCTCGAAGTTGTTCTAGGCATAGATCAGTCATAGACACCTATAAAGTTTCAGGATTAAAGACATATCCTACTTATTTTAGGACAAGTGGGAGATTGTTGGGAATTGTGTCCTAAAAGAATGAGATGTAATAGGATATTTATTATTTATTTAATAAAATAGTTTATTCATTATTTTATGTGTAAATATTTATGAATATTTTATGATTATCAATGAAAATTTCATGATTATTTATGTGACCTTAAACATTGTATATAAATGTTATATACGAGAGGATAATGTTTAAGGATAATGATAAAAAATTATGTTCGTAATGAATTTAATTAAAGTTTAAAATCTTTAATTAAAACATTATTAATACAGTCATTCCCATTTAGAATGGAATGGTGTTATCCGCACTGTTAAAATGGAGAGATATTGAATGAGTGTATTTCGCATAATGAGATTATGTGGAACAAGAACACAGATACAATATGAATTTTTGATAATTTTCGTTAAGTATAGAAATTCTAATTGAGTCTACCGATAGTCATATATAGAATGATCTTAATCTTGAGTTCTTAGCAGCCTCTTATTTATGAATTTGTGTCTTTTTTATTTACTCGGTACGAATTCTGAGATCCTGAATCCTATTCCTTATATTTTGGAGACATGATGAAGTAGGTAGCAAGAAATGTTATTATACGAGATGAAATTCATTCTTTCTTGAAAGAGAAGTAGATAAATAATTCTCTTGAGAGTTGATTCGGTACTTGGACCAGTAGGAGCTCTGATTCATGAATGTGTTTTATGAATTACTGTCCATTAGAGAATCAATAGTACTCAATGATAAAGATGTAATTAGAGAGGTTAATGAATTTCATCTGGCTCTAATTATGAATTATTTATAGATGATTGATCTATATGCAGTGACTACATCACATGGACACTTCACGACTTATAAGTAATTAATATCTATAATTACAAGAGTGCAATTTTAAGTTTATAGTGGAGTAACTATTGGAATTAGTAAAATTAATTAATTAATTATTAATTTTATTTGATCTCAAAATTATAGGTACATGAATCCACACGTCGTCTTTGTAATTCTACAAGACACCAAAGGGCAAAATGAAAATTTTAGAATTACGAAATTCTAAAATTAAACACTACTGATAATTAATTGAGAATTAATTATTATTTAAATAATGTGATTATTTAAATTTAAATTAAAATTTTTGATCACTTATGTGAAAGGTGTTCACATTATGTGAACGCAAGGCACGGCGTGAACACATCTAGAATTATCTATTTAAACTTATTTGATAAGTTGTTCAATTTAGAATTCAAATTAATTTAAGTTTAACTTAAATTAAATTTTGAATTTGAGTCAAAATTAGACTGAAGGATAAATGATGATTTTCTCTTCCTTCCCTATCTGGAGATTGCGCCTTCCACAGGGATAAGGATCCTATATGTGGCCGGCCATAATGGATAAAAGAAAGGAAAATTTGTTCCAAATTCAAATAGGAGATAATTGATAAGCTTTATCTTAGAGATAGAGATGAGACTTCTTCTAAGAGTCTAACTACTATTCTATAAATAAGGAGATAGTAGAAAATTGTGAGACACAATTTTTGGAAACAATTTTTTGACACAATTTTTGCTCCTAATTTTGTAGAATTGCCGGTTTCACAAGTGTTGTGAGAGGAAAAAATTTTCTCCAAAAATTTCTTGTCGTGCATGTGTTGGTGTTCATAGAAATTGTTGAGTGTTTTTGTTAGCCCGTTTTGTTTCAGGTGTGCCTACACACACGTCTTCATAGATTCAAGGAATTGACGAGGAAGACTCGGGTTTCCTAAACAAAGCATTGGAGCGAGAATTGTGTGAGGTCAAAGAACTCAAGTTATCATCCTAATCGGTCGCTAGGTATAATTCATATTCGAGTTCTTAATTAATAAATTAATGTGATTAATTTATTCGTGCATAAATTAATATAATCTATAAAGTATCTCAAAGGTTTTATGAAAATTTTTGTTATACACGATCTGCCACCCACACGCTTTTGCATCCGAATTCAATTCGGAAACCAACAGTTTGACATTTATCCCAATTTTTTTTCCCCCGGTAATTGACTACCCAAATTTCAGAAAACAGCAACAATTAGCTCCAATCTGGGAAAGGTTAAATTTAAGACATTCAGGGACCAATTTATCAACAGTATATGTTTTAAGAACAAAGTGTCAAACCACGAAAAGTTCATGGGGCACAAACGATAACAAGCCTACTTACTATCACTTTTGTCTAAGTCCCACTAAGTTATTTTCTCGATATAAACCAATCAAAGCTAATTTAAAAATTGAAGGGTACGTTAATTTCATGATTCAAGTCATATTGCTATAGTGTTCTCTCACAAAAATTTAAATTCAATTTTTTTGCTACTGTTTTTCTCATATACACAACTCAAGTCATGTAAAAGAGCAAGCCCTAAGACTTTTGCTACTACCTTCGACAACCTAAGACTTTTGCTACTTCCTTCTACAACCTAAGAACGTCATCAAAAGCTATTCCAAATAAGGCCTTCCAGAGCAATGAAAATGTCTCAATGCTTGATTATCGCAGCTAGATAATTCAACTTGACGCAACTAAAGGACTTTTGAAACAAGAAACTATATATTAATGAAAGAATTAAGTACAAGGATAGGAAGAGATTTCCCCAATCAAAGAATACCGGGGCAGGCAAACGGAGCCCAAACCGAATCCCTGGTTACATCAGAGAATAACGCACCTCTAAACTCTCTTATCTTTATGAACCCATATTGAAACCCAAAATTTGATTCTATCCCAAAGTATAACGCTATCTTCTTTTCTTCTCTAGGAAAATTCTCCTGTTTCTTTTCCAACCATATCCCAAAAAATGCCAAAAACTGCTGCTCTCCACAATAATGTAACTCTTTTATTGAAGCTGATTAAGATAGAAAACTCGCATAAATCTTTGCTACTGCGAGACGCAACCAAAGGACTGGTTGGCCTCGTTTACATGCCCCTAACAATGGATAACCACAAAATATTAATCTAACAGTTGTAATAAATGGAATAGTTGACCACAAAATTAATGACAATAAATGAAATTAGTCCTATCACGTCAGTAAATTTCTATATTTGAAGGTAACTACCGATAAAAACGTAACCATTCAAAACTCATCCATATATATATATATATATATATATACACACACACACACACGCGGAAGAAAAGGGCTTAATCTTTCTCCTAAAGTGGTTTCTTTTTTCTTTTTCCCAATAATATGAACGCGTCCACTCTTTTCTTTACTTTCAGGTAGGCGCCTATGAATTTGTGTAATTAACCAACCCCACACAATGACTACAAAGATAATCATAAAATGTGATTTGGTGGAAGTGCGTGTGCAAAAAAAAAAAACTAAATGCGTGACTATCATTGGTTTGGTGAAGTGATTGGCCCCTCTGCATGTGTGAATGGAGATTCCACTAACTCCTCTAAAAAGGAAAAAAAAAAAAAAAAAACAAATCTACATAAAGTGCTTCCAAGAGAGAAAGAATGGAAGCGTCATAAACAAAAGCACCGGTCAGAAATCATGGTTTCTCTCCAATTCTACAATTACATCCTAATTCTCAGCCTTCTCTATTTCAGCAGCGCCTCGCTGATTAAAGGCTACACATACACGCCCTGCAATGGTTCGATAGCAGACTGCGATGTAGAAGGTGAGATGCTGATGGAGTCGGAGATAAGTAGAAGGGTTCTTGCACAGAGAAAGTACATCACACCCGGAGCCTTAAAGCCAGATCAGCCGGTTTGCAAAGGTGCTAAAGGGGAAGCTTATAGCAAAGCTGGAGACTGTCTTCCGGAACAATCTAACCCGCCAGACCGAGGGTGCCAAAAGTACTATCGTTGTAGATCTAGTTCCTGATCCAAGCTCCATGGGTTTTGCAAACCTATGCTCAAGACCTGAAGCTGCAAAGCAAATGTTCCTACCCCATATATTGTCATATCTAAGTGTGCAAGAGTTAGCAGCTTTCCCTTTTTCCCCCTTTTTGGTTTTGCGCTTTCCCTTTTTCCCCCTTTTTGGTTTTCCTATACTTCAATGATTCATCATACTGTCGTCAATTCCTTAATAAATTGAATAATTTGATGGGGTTTTGACAAAGTAGGTATCTACTTAAACCTCTGTCTAAGCTCTCCAACCTAATGCTTGCTAATGAATATGCGACTATATGCTAAATTTACTTGTTCTTTTTCGAGATTTTGATCTTGTAATAGGCACAAATCTCAAAAGCCAAATATAATTCAGACTAAACTGACCACCTGATCTTACATATATATAAGACCTGATTACATTCTATTAATAATTTTCACGATATTGTTACAATTTCTGAAATTTTTTGGGTGCAATATTACGACACTGAGAATATAGTGAGCTAAAACTTTTAGCATACTGTCATATTGCTTTTAATAATATGACGACCAATCGTAGAAATTGAAATAGATATGAACAGTAAAAACTCTAGCAATTTGGCTTCAACCATACTACCACCTTAATAGCAAAGGGAACCAAAAATACAATTATAATATTACCAGATAATTAGAGTTAGCAGCATGATGTGTTGCAAAATACAAATAGAAAAAGAAAAGAATACAGATGTTAAAAAACATGAGCTTGTCTGATCAGGGAACATCGTCGACATTTTTTCCTCTCCTCATTCAGTATCTTCTATTTAAATTCGGTTTTCATATAGTAGGCTATCTGGCCAAATTTGTCCCAGGGAAGAAGATCAAGAGAGCTTGCATCTAAGGACATTACAGTGAGCAATTGGAGTTTGGACACCTACTTAAATGAAAGCTTCCATACCTCTCGAACATTAGATGAACCATCTGCAACTTCAGCAACCATGCTAAAAGCCATAAGACCTGCAGTAAGAGAGGGAAAAAAATACAGAAAGATTTCAATATTCCATAGAGTACTTATGAGAACATCAGATGAATCTCACTTCAAAGTTGAAGAAGAATATAAATAGCAAAAATTTACTCATTTGTGGAAAGTACATAAGCAAACTAGTCAGTGCATGACAAATAGCCACATCGACGATCTTAATGCTTGTAATCCAGTTATGCACATTCATACAATGCAAATAGTCCGAAAACACAAAATATCAAATTAATAAGCTTGAACACGCATGAAAGTGGCTCTTTGTAACCCTTCCAACTCGCGTGATCAACACAATGAACATTTATTGAAATAAATGAAAGAATTTTTAAAGAAAATAGTTCCTCTATAATTGAATATCAAGATTATATCTCTGCAAAAGCTTACCATCTTTCTCCACCATAGACAGGAATTGCCGTGTTCCTCCCCCTACACCAAAATAATGCTTCTTTGCGGACATGTAAACTACACCATTTGGATACCTCACGCACTGCAAATTAAGTACTTTAAGGGCGCGTTTACCAAACCGTAAAAGAACATGGGAAAGCTAATGGGATTGGAAAGGAAAGTAAAGTAATAGGATTAAGGGTCATTCATTCCCTTTCAAGTGTTACTTAACTATTAGATGATGTAATAGGAAACAATCTCATTCCCTTTCTTATGTTTATAAAAATTAGACATAGCAACATTATGAATGTAATCACTAAAATATCCTTTTACACAATTAGATAATCATTAACTATATAGTAATTCATTAAGCGTATATAAGTAAATTCAGTATTCATTCCCTTTGACAGGGTGATGAGCCTACCCTACGGTTCACTTATGCGAGGAAGAGATTGAAAGCAGATTTGAAAGAGATGATCTGCTATATTTTATTCAATGTGGCGGAAATACATTTAAATAGGCATCAAAAAATAACAGAATAAAGAAAATCTCCCTAATAATGTGGCTGATTTGCTGTAACAATCAAATCAGATTTTATTGACTAAAACCTAATCCTAAACAACCGGATAACCAATAAGGAAGATTTGAATATTTCAAATTAATTCAAAAATCTTCTAGATTGATTTAATCCAGTAGAATCCGATCAAATCAATTTGATTTGATCTGCCGACACTCCCCCTCAAGCATGGACGTAGATGTCTATGAGTCCGAGCTTGCTTGCTAATGCTTCAAATGCTGGTCCGTGCAGTCCTTTTGTGAGAATATCAGCCACTTGTTGCTTCGTAGGAATATATCCCACACTGATTATTCCACTCTCAATTTTCTCTGTGATGAAATGCCTGTCCACCTCCACATGTTTAGTTCTGTCGTGATGAACCAGATTATGTGCTATGTTGATTGTAGCTTTGTTGTCGCTATAGAGCTGCGTAGGGAACTCACAATCAATTCTTAATTCTTCCAGTAGTCGCTTTATCCAGATTGCCTCACAAATGCCATGAGCCATAGCCCTATATTCAGCCTCAACACTGCTCCTTGCAACTACAACCTGTTTATAGCTACCCCAAGTCACCAGATTTCCCCAAAGCTGAGTGTAATATCCAGATGTTGACCTCCTATCTTTTTCAGAACCTGCCCAATCTGCATCTGTGTAGATTTTTACTTTTCTATTTTCGTGTTTTTGAAAAAATAGTCCTCTCCCTGGATTCTTCTTGAGATATCTTAATATACGATAAACTATATCAAGATGTCTTTAGCACGGTGAATGCATGTATTGGCTGACCACACTAACTGCAAATGCTATGTCCGGTCGAGTATGTGAGAGATAGACCAATCTTCCCATAAGCCGTTGATATCTACCTGTATCTACTAGATTTCCATCAACCAAATTCTTCCTACCTTTTGGTTCAATTGGAGAGTCTATGGGCTTGCAACTGAGCATTCCTGTCTCTTCCAATAAATCCATCGTATATTTCCTCTGTGATATGGAGATCCCCTTTTTACTCCTTGCAACCTCCATTCCTAGGAAATATTTCATGAATCCCAGGTCCTTGATCTCAAATTCCCTTGCCATAATCTTCTTAATTTCTTCCATCTCTTGAAAGTCATCTCTAGTCAATATTATGTCATCCACATACACGATCAAAACTATAACCTTGTTGTTTGTTGAATGTTTGACGAAGAGAGTATGATCTATTTGTCCTTGTAAGTATCCATGACCTTTGACTACTTTGGAAAATCTTTCAAACCAGGCCCTGGGTGATTACTTTAGACCGAATAGTGACTTCTTCAACTTGCACACTGTATTGTCCCGTTTATCTTCATAGAAACCAGGTGGAGACTCCTATATACTTCTTCTTCTAACTCTCCATTCAGGAAGGCATTCTTCACATCAAGTTGGTACAGAGGCCAATCCATATTTGGTGCTAAGGACAAGAGAACTCGATCAGTGTTGAGCTTTGCAACTGGTGCAAACGTTTCTGTGTAGTCTATCCCGTAGGTTTGTGTGAAGCCCTTTGCCACCAATCGGGCTTTGTACCGCTCCACTGAACCATCTGGTTTTACTTTAATTGTGAACACCTACTTGCATCCCACTACTTTCTTGTTTTGTGGTAGTTCCACTAGGCTCCAAGTCTCATTTTTCTCAAGGGCACGCATTTCTTCTAGCACAACAGACTTCCATTCTGGGACAGCTAGAGCTTCCTCAATAGTCCTCGGGACGTCAAGTCTAGAAAGATTTGTTGTGAAAGCACGAAACGAGGTTGATAAGTTATCATATGACACAAATTTAGAAATTGGGTGTTTTGTACATGACCTAACACCTTTTCTTAGAGCAATGGGATCATCTAGCCTATCATGGAGAGTTTCGGGATTACCTGAGGATGAAGGACTAGAACCCACCATAGGTTCGGATTCAGGGTAGCCCGCAGTGCCTGTGAGTTGTGTATTTCCTTGAAAATTTTTCATCCGACAGTAGACCTGCAGTTCTTGCCAATTTGAAACTGGAGGTGGTTGTGGAATTGGCAATGAAGATGGCTGCAGGGTTGGCTGTGAAAGTGGGTGGGAAGATGGCTGCAGTGGGTGGGAAGATGGCTACAGTGGCTGTGAAGATGGTTGTGGAGCTTCAGGCTCTGTTTCGGTGTGGGCTGGAGCTGGAATCTCGACAATGGTGGCTAACTCTGGAGCCGAAGTTCCTTCAATTGTGGTGTCCCATTCCCACACATAAGCTTCTTTATCATTACTCTCCCCCTGAAGCGAAGTGTGGGAATAATATGGTATCTCTTCAAAGAAGGTAATATCTCGGGTAACAAAGGATATTTTTGTTTTGGGACAGAAACATCGATATCCCTTTTTTGTTGGAGAATAGCCAAGGAATATAGTCTTTATGGCTCGGGGGTCGAGTTTGTTGCGGTGTTGGGAATGGACATGGACGAATGTAGTGCAGCCAAAGGTTTTGGGAGGAAGGTTATTGGTGAGGATATTCAGGTGTGGAACTTGAGTTGTGAGGACAGACAATGGGGATTTAAATTTGAGGGGCTGGCTAGATAATCTATTGATGAGAAAGGCATCGGTTAAAATGACATCGCCCCACAGATATTTGGGTACATTCATAGTGAACATAAGGGCACAGGTCACTTCTAGTAGATATCGATTCTTTCTTTCTGAGACTCCATTTTGTTGTGGTGTATCAGTACAAGAACTTTGGTGAACGATTCCATGATGGTCAAGGTAATTACCCAAAGTGGACTGGAAATATTCACCACCATTATCAGTTCTTAAAACTGAAATTTTTTTCTAAAATTGGGTTTGAACCATTTTATGGAAGGTTTGAAAGATTTGGCAAGTTTTGGATTTTTCTTTAAGCAAGTAAACCCAAGTTACTCGTGTATGGTCATCAATAAACGTGATAAACCATCGTTTTCCATTCAGGTCGGTACCCTAGACAGACCCCATATATCACTGTGAATTAAGGAGAAAGGCATAGAGGGCGTATAAGGTTTGGTGAGAAAGGAACACGAGTATGTTCAGCAAGTTAACAAATATCACAAGCAAAGGAAATAGAATCTTTATTTCTAAATAGAGTTGGTAACAAAAACTTCAAATATGAAAAACTGGGGTGGCCTAGTCTATATGCTATAATCTACCATGAAAGCAGATTTGAAACAGATGATCTGCTATATTTTATTCAATGTGGCAGAAATACATTTACATAGGCAGCAAAAAATAACAAAATAAAGAAAATCTCCCTAATAATGTGGATGATTTGCTGTAACAATCAAATCAGATTTTATTGACTAAAACCTAATCCTAAACAACTGGATAACCAATAAGGAAGATTTAAATATTTCAAATTAATTCAAAAATCTTCTAGATTGATTTAATCCAGTAGAATCCGATCAAATCAATTTGATTTGATCTGCCGACAGAGATTTCATGGGAAGAAACCCGCAAGAGCAGGAGACGGGGGTGCAGCTGCAGCACAGGGGAACATCTCTACTAGTGGTTAGGAGGAGGGCTGAGTTGGTACATGAAAGGAAGGGGATTGGAGGAGTTAGTTTGTTAGTTTTGCCTTTTAGTTTGGAATTAGGTGCTGAGGCTTTTCAATTAGGGAATGTTAGTAATCGGAATAAATAGGATAAGGAAGAAGGAAGAAGGCATCGATCATCTTGCTAGAGAGAAATTAGCCGAGCTTTGCTCTAAGGAGTGCAAGGGGTCACTCGAAAATCCCCATATCTTGGTACTCTTCCTAATTTTCTCAAAAGCAATATCAGTATTATTTCAGCTTGATCGATCAATTTTCTTGCATATTTGCTCTAAATTTGTGTGGTGGTTTGTGGTTCTATCAAATTGGTATCCGAGCACCATTCTGGGAATGACAAAATAGATTGACGATCGTGAGAAGGAGCAAACAGAGGTGGTGAAGGAGGAATTCAAGAAGGAATTGGAGCTGGTTAAGAAAGATTTGAAAAAAATCCCAAAGCTCAAGAAAGGCATGGAAGTTCTACTCGCAAAGATGGATGACCTGTTGAAGGAGTGGAGTGGGCCAGATCCGAAACCAACGTCGTTAAGGAATGCAACCCCAGTGACTCAGTCGGCGCTAACTGGGGAGTCTAGTGAGGAGGGGGGAACGTGAGAGGGGGGAAATCGCATGGATTTCCGAACACGCCGGGTGGAAATGTTCGTGTTCGACAGAGAGAACCCCGATGGGTGGATCTTCCGAGCCGGGAGATATTTATCTATGAATAAAATGAAGGAGTGCGAGAAGTTGGGTATGGCGATGGTGAGTCTTGAAGGGGACGCTTTGGCCTGGCTTCAACAAGAGGATGGCCGGCGAGCTATTCGCGACTGGGCGGAGTTGAAATTAATGGTGTTAGAACGATTCCTGTCGACGCAGGAGGGAAGCCTCTGCGAAAAATTCTTGTCGCTCCGCCATGTGAGGATAGTCAGGGAGTATCGTAAGCAGTTTGAGGTATTGGCGGCGCCTTTGACAGAGATATCGGAGCAAGTCCTGGAGAGAACCTTCATAAACAGATTGAAATCCAAGAA